TTTGGAGGTTTAATCACGCAAGGCGAATCCTTAACATATTAAAAAAAAAAATAAATAAATAAATAAAATTTTTAGGCGCGTGTTTAAATGTTTACGTATGAGTATGAAGTAAACGTGGAGAGTGTAGATTTATTTAGGTTCTTAACGGTTCTAAACAGGACAAGATGCCTAAGTTCTTCTGCTAGACTTCTCGTACAGTTTTGTACGTCGGTAAAATAAATAAATAATGGCCGTGCAAACATCATATTTTTTTTTTGGGGGGGGGCTCGAATAGGATAAAAGTTGACTTATGAGTTTTTAAAGTTTGGGGGGTTTATTATAATAATAATAATAATGGAAAGGGAATTTTTTTTTTTTTTGCAAATTAATTTTTATAAATTGCTCGTAAATTTTAATAATATGTAATAACCTCCTCCCCGCGAAATTTAGAATTAATAATAAGTTTTGCCAGAATCTTTAATGGCGGCGGCAATTATTAAAAAAGTTTTCTTCACACTTTCTCTCTCTCTCTCTCTCTCTCTCTCTTTCCTTTTTTTTTTTGGAAGGTTTTCTAGAAAAGTTTTTAATAATAATAATAATAATAATAATAGGAAATTCTTATGGTGAAGAAAAAGAAGAAAAAAACCGCTTGAGAAAACTGGAAGGGGGGAGGGTGAGGAAGGGAGGGAGGGGCTAATTATATTAAAAAACCGTTTAATAATTTATTTTCTACAATAAACTTTTTTTTTTGTTTAATTTATATATTATGTTTTATTTATTAACTTTTGTTTGCGTTAAAACTTATTTTTTGGGGGGAGATTGGGGGTTAGGGGGGCGGATGGGACGAAGTGGACAAAAGTTTGAATTAATTTTACTTTTACTCTATTAAGTTTTAAATTTAAAAATTAAGATGGAAAATCAAGATTTACAAAAAGAAAAGTTTGTTAATGCGACTTGTTCAATCTGTTGTTGTTGTTGTCGTTTGTTTGTTTGTTTATTTTTGTTTGTTAGTAACTTTAAGTCGCATAATCGCATCCGTTTTATTCCGTCGAATTAAAAATACTAAAAATTCGAAATAAATTTAAATTCTCTTTTTTTAAAAAAAAAATATTTTTAGAAAAAAATCCGACATGGCTTCTTCTCTTGTTTTGTTTTGTTTTGTTTGTTCGTTTGTTTTTATTTTTATTTTAAATCGTTACATCGTAGGGTGTGTGCAGCATGTACGACTGCGAACAACAAAGCTTTTTATTATTATTATTAACCCTAAAAAAAATTTTAAAGAATGCAGTCTGGATTATTCTTGATTATAATACAAAACTGTAATTGTTTTTTTTTTTTTTTTTCTAATATTTTTTTTTACTGTGAGGAAAGGAAAGGTTTGTTTCCCCCCGAGCCCCCCATCTATTCCCCTCGTCGTCGTCGTCTTAAAAAAATTTCCCACAATAACAATCGCCTTTTGTTGTTGATCGTTTGTTTTTGTTTTCTTTACAGCCATAGAGACTAAACCTACTAAAATAATACCAAAAGAGCCTGAAAGAACACAAATCACATTCGTCAAGCCAAAATTAAAACCTCACGAGGATCCCGTACAGCGGAATGATATTTTCGAACCTGATCGTCAACCTGGAAAAGAAGAAGAAAATATAGAAAGATCGAGTACGGAACACGAAAACACGGTCATAATGGATCCGAAACACGAAGATAGAGCAACGTCGTTCTTTGCTCAACCAGGAATATTAGCAGGTTAGTATGACTCTTCCCCCCGGCCCCCCCGTTTTTTTTAATTCTCTTTGTTTGCGTCGTTTGTTGTTTGTTTGTTCTCGCTCGAGAAAGAGAGAAAAATTTACTCTTATGTAAAAAATTAAAAACAAACACGAGATAAGAAAGATACGAATATAAATAATACAAAAGGTAGGGAAGGTGTACGTACGATTAGATAGCGTGGAAGAAGAAAAAAAGAGAGAGAACATTTTGTTTACCTTAAACTTATCAATATTCATTTAATAATAATAATAATAATTTACGTAATTTTTTTTCTATAATCGCGTATAAAAAACTGGAAAACGATTTTGTGATTTTACGATGATTGGTTGATGATAGTGTTGTCTGTTCGTCCTTTGCCCCCCCGATAAAATTATTATTATTATTTTTTTTTTACGATCGAAAGACCTCTGATGATAATAATAATAATAATTAGTCAATATTGTCAATTAAAAAATAAAAAAATTTTTTTTTTTTTTTTGAAAATCGCGTGGAATCATCAATCAATCAATCAATCAAAATGTCTATTCGAGGTCAAATCAGCAATCTATTTATTATTATTATTATTATTATTATTATTATTATTATTATTATTATCATCTGAGAGTCGAATTGCAAAAGTTTTATTGTTGTTATTAATATCATCATCATCATCATCATCATCAATTAAATAATGGCGGGAAAAAGAAATTTTATCGACGTGAAAATGACGTGACGTAACGTGACGTGTGGTGGAAATCGTCGTCGTTGTCGTTTCCGTTTTTTTTTCCCGCCAAAAAAAATTCTCACATCCTCCCCCCCCCGCGTCACATTATCACATATTATTATTATTATTATTATTATTATTCGTTGTTATCAACAAAGAAACAAAGTGTACTTTGTTAACATTTGGGGAGACCTTTAATCTCTCTCTCTCTCACTCTCTCGCAAAAATTTGATATTAAAATTCTTGTTAAATTAAATCACATGGTTGACGAATGATCGTGTTCATTCATATGAATGGACAGAGTAGAAGTGAATTTAAATTTTTTTTTTTTTTTTTTTTTTTTTTTTTTTTACTGTTCGAGAACTTTCTAGAACTGTTTAAAAAAAAAGTTTTTAAATTAATTACATTATTATTATTATTATGAAAATCCGGGAAATTTTATAAGAGAGAGAGAGAGAGAGAGAGAAAAGGACATTTTTTAAGAAAATCGAAGGGAAAATCCGCCATTTTGTTTTTTTTTTAAATTGATCGATTGCCACGTGCGTTAAATTACAAACGTGTAAGGTTTTGCCAGGTTTGCACAAATTTCTTTTGGGGATCCTTAAAAATTTTTTTTATGTTGGTATCTCTCCGTCGTTTATTTCGTTTACGAATTTAGCAAAGATTTTGTTTGTTGGTTTTTTGGTTGTTTTCCCCGAAGGTGATCGGAGTATATCCATCGTGTGTTGGCACTTGTCAGTGATTACCAACCTCGCAGATATTTCATTCCCCGTTAGTTTTTTTTTTTTTTAAAACGTGCGTGAGGAGAGTTTCGAACAAAGGTCGGTTCGCAAAGGTCTCCGTTCACAACATTGACAATGTGAGTCTCGGGAGTGGCCATTTTTATAATATAGACAATATTTAAAACGATGTAGGTTGTTTTGTCGAACAATCACGATTTCTCACCTATTGCATAATCATCATCATCATCATCATCATCAAAAATCTATTTTCCTTTGTTTTCATTTATTACCCATTTTCAATTAACACCTGCTTTAATTTGTTTTCATTTGTTTAAAATGATGAAAACTTTTGGGATGTATGGACATATTGAAAAAGGAAAAAATTAATAATAATAATAATAATAATAACGAATTTATTTATTTATTTTTCGTTCTTTCTTTTACGAGTCGTTAAAATTTAAATTAACGGAAAGTTTCAAAAAAAAAAAAACAATATGGCGGCCGTGTTTTCTTCATCTTCTCGTTCTCTCGTGGTGCTTTTTTTGTTTTATTTTAATTAAACTCGGCGGCATTTTGGGGGACTCTCCAAATCGATCTCAGGTACAAAGTTAAACTCGGTTTTTTTTTGTAAAGGGAGAGAGAGAGAGAGAGAGAGAGAACGGCTTCTTTTTTTTTTAGGTTTTTAGTCTTCCATATAAGTAAATGACACTCGTAAATTTTTTTTTTAAGAGAGAGAGAGAGAGAGAGAGAGAGAGAGAGAGAGCAAGATTTCGTACTACTCTCTTTCTCTCTCTCTAAAAAAACCGTTAAGCGAACATTTTTTAATTCCGTTTTATTATTATTATTATTATTATTATTATTATTATTATCGTTCGATCTTGGTTACTCCGCTTTTCAAGAAAGATTCGGCCATTTTTCCTAATATGTTTAAAAAAACGTTGTATCGTTATCATTATCATTTTTCAAAGGGAATTTGACGGTTTTTTTGTGCGTGAGTGCGTGAGTGCGCGTGTGTGAAAACAAAGCGCGGAACAAAACGCATTTATTTAAAAAAAAAATTTTTTTTTTTTTTTTGTGGATTAAAAAAATCATTTTGACCTAGTAACCTTTCGCTTTCTTCTTCTTCTTCTGTTTTTTTATTTATTTATTATTTCAACTTCTTCCCACGTCATTTTTTTTGTTTTTTGGTCTTTGTGTGGATATTTCGGGGAGGTACCCGTGGTAATAAAAATTTAATAAAAAAAATTAATAAATTTTATTCGAGAGTATCCAGGTTGATGAGGGGTAGTAGTAGTAGTAGTAGTAGGGGTACTGATAGTAGTAGTAGAAGTAGAAGTAAAAGCAGAAGCTAAAAAGAGAGAGAGAGAGAGAGAGAGAGAGAGAGAGAGAGAGAGAAACGACGATTGGGGTATTGGAAAAGAGGCCTAAAATACAACAAAATTTCATTTTTATTATTATTATCATTATTATTATTTCTTATTCATTTGGAATGCCTCCTACGTATATCGAATGTTTCGAACGCACACGCACACACACATACCTTGTGATGTATTATTTCCGGTTCGGTTATTATTATTTTTTGTACAAATTAGAATTTCAATTTTTATTTTCTATTTTATTCGAAGGAAGAATAAATAAAAACAAACGAAAATAATAATAATAATAATAATAAACAAAAAATAAATAAATTTATTATTATTATTATTATTATTTAATATTCGAACGAGAGAATTTTTCCGTTGAATTTTAAAATGGCGTGGAGATAAAAGGTAAAAAAGAAAAGAAAGAAATTTTTTTAGACTCGTGTTTGAGAGATACTAATCACACGTGGGATGAACGTGTGTGTGTGTGTGGCCGGTTGTAAACTAGGAAAGTAGTTTAAGTTTTTGTCTAATTCCACGTTGTTGTTCTCGTTGTTGTTCTCGATAAATGGCAAAATTAATTTAAAAAATTTTTTTATTTTTTTTCAGCCGTCATTGGAGGATGCGTAGTGGGTTTGTTGTGCGCCATACTCGTCGTCATGTTCATCGTGTACAGGATGAGGAAAAAGGATGAAGGATCGTATCCGTTGGACGAACCCAAAAGGTCACCCACGTCAAATTCATATTCGAAAAACACTCAAAGGGAATTTTACGCCTGAGGAGAGCTCGATTATTCTATTCAACATCTTTAATATAAAGAAGAAGAAAAACGACAACAACAACAACAACAACAAACAATCGAAACAATCACAGGAATCATTGCTACAAAATAATTTACTCGCTTACTTTAAATTTTTTTTCTGTCGTCATCGTCGTCGTCGTCGTCACGATTTTCATTTGATGACGCGATGTGAAAACAAACAAAAACAAACAGAGAAAATCGTGTGATTTTTTTTTTTTTTTTTATAATAATAATAATAATTTCAATATGTCCGACATTTCATATCAAATGATAGTGAGAGAGAGAGAGAGAGAGAGAAACAAATGATTTTAATTGGGGAGGCTGGAACCTCTTTCTTTCTCTCTTTCTCTCTCTTTATGTAAATTTGTTTTTTTTCCCGCCATTTAATTATGGTCAATAGTAATAATAATAATAATAATCGTAATCACTTACTATTATTATTATTATTAATGTTATTGTTTTTGCCATTGAAATAATAATAATAATAATAATCAATCACACGATGGACTGATACACACAAACACAAACACATTTATTAGTATATTCATTTTTATAATAATTTTAACGTGGAAGGAGAAAAAAAAAGGGGGAAAAGACGTGGCCGTTGGTCGTCAATGTTTTATTTTTTATTAATTTTTGCCCATTAAGAAATTTGAAATTTTTCGGTTTGGGGGGGAAGGGAGGGAGGGAGGGAAACGTCATAGTTCATAGTTTCAAAACAAAAGTGTTTTGATCGTTTGTTTGTTTGTTTGTTTATGGGTAGTTTGTTCGTTCGTTCGTGTTTGTTCGTCTTCCCGCGCAAATTTAAATTTTATTATTATTATTAATATCATTATTATTATTATGTCGTGGTGATTCAATTTTATATTTAATTTTTTTATTAAAAAAAAAATGTTTTGATGTTACAGTTGGCAGCTATGATGATATTAAAAATGTTTTTAAAAAAAAAAAAGGATTAATTAACAAATGAGTATACAACAAACGCATTAAATAAACGTTATTAATAATAATAATAATGATGATGATGATAATGATAATAATAAAAGTCAAAACATATTCAAAAAAAAATGTTAAGAATCAAATCAATTATTAAATAAAACACGTTAAATATTTTATGCGAATGAAATTTAAAATAATAATAATAATAATCACATTTTTATTAATGATTAATAATGATAATGATGATGATAATGATGATGATGATTGTATAAAGTGCTCTCTTCAATTAAAGAAAAAAAAAGAAAAAAAAAAAAAACAATTGAAAAAATAAAAATCTAATAAAAGCGCAGCAGTAGTAACAAACAAAACATTAATAATAATAATAATAAATGATGAAAATGTGAAAAAAAGAAAAAGAAAAAGAAAAATTGTGCGAATTGTGCGTGTGGTGATTTTAAATGTTTGCGTGAGTGTGTGAGTGAGTGCGTGAGTGCGTGTGATAGTGTTAAAAAATAAAATGATTAATTAAATAGAAAAAAAAAAAGTCTTTTAGGCCTAATGTTGAAACGGTCTATAAAAATGTTTTTTTTTTTTTTTTTTTTAAATACGTTTGTTCGTTTGTTTGTTTGTTTGTTCGTCTGTTTGTTTTCGAAATGAATTCGAATTAATTATAATTAAAATTATATTATGAAAAGAATTCGTAGACGAAAACAAATTGGAAAAAAATTTTTTTAATGTCACTAAATTATAATTAATTAATTTATTTAATGAAATCGAACAAAAAAAAAGGAAAAAAATTTAATTAAAGGCGACAAACGTTTGTTTGTCTGTTTGTTTGTTTGTTTGTTAAAAAGGGGTAAAAAATTAAAAAATTATGGAGAGAAGACGAAAAAACAAACGAAAATTAAATTTAGTAAAAAAAAAAAAAAACAATTTAACTCATATGAGAAAAAAAAATTATTATTATTATTATTATTTATTTTTTATTAATTTACTGATATGAATTGAATTTTTTTAATAGAAAATAGTTTAGAGATCTTATTAAAATGTAAAAAAAAAATAATAATAATAATAATAAAAACAAACTAATATTAATGATAATGATAATGATGATAATGTAAAAATGATTTTTTTTCTCACTCACACTCACACACGTTTTATAATTGCCATATAATTTTCGTTTTTTTTTTTTTCTCTCTCTCTCTCTCTCTCTCTTTCTCTTTTCCTCTAAATATAAATAATAAAGTCAATGCACAAATCAATTTAGAAATAATAATAATAATAATAATAATAATGATGAAATGTAAAAATGGCAGCTAATTAACAATTTTTAAATGTTTGTAATTTACATTCCCCATTTTTTTTTTTTTTTTTTTTTATGTTTTTTAATTACTTATTTATTTATTTATTTTTTATTTTGTATTTGTTTTTAAATCGTATTTAATCGATTGATCGAACGATATATCGATTAATCGATTAAGATTTTTAATTTTTGTATTTTATTGTATTGCAAAATCATTTGGGAAATCATTTTTTTTCTTTTTTATTATTATTATTATTATTATGTATCACAATTGTAATAATTTTTTTTATTATGTAATTTTAAAATTATGTATTAATGTATTAATAACAAATTAATTTATGTTGTCAAAAGGATACATAGAATTCTATTAATTAATCTTATTTTTTTGTTTCTATAATAATAATAAAAAAATTATTTGTACTCGATAAAAGTTGTGGTTGTGATTTTGTTAACAAAGATGGAGGGAAAGCGAAGAAAGAAAGAAAGAAAGAAAGAAAAGAAACAAAATAAGAAAGAAGAAGAAATTATGTAATGTTGTTAACGACAACAACAACAACAACAACAACCATAAAACACTTCAAAACAAAAAAATTAATAAATAAATAAATAAATAAGAAAGAAAAAGTTAAATAAATTTTTTTTTTAAATTAAAATTTAAATGTTAATAATAATAATTTTCTCTATGTTTTGTTTTTTTTTAATAATGAATAATGATAATAATGATAAGAATAATAATAATAATAATTTATTTTATAAATGTATTTAAATTATCATTTGATCGATTTCACTATTATTATTATTTTTTTTTATTTATTTATTTTTTTTGTTTTTTTTTTTTTACTGAATAATAATAATAATAAATCAAATGTTTTTTTTTTATAAAAACAAATGTTTATCGATAACACAAATATTTTTTAACAAATTTTTTTATTTATAATAATAATAATAATAATAATAAGAGTAATAAATGTAAATCACTATTATAAATGGTCCTAAATAATAATGATGATTTTTTTTTTCAGTAAAAAAATAAAAAGAAGAAAAAGTGAAAAAAAAAAAAAGAAGTAGATCGTTAGATTCTATATATGTATATATATATAAGACATTTTTTTAAAAAAATAAATAAATTTTTAATTTAAAAAAAAAAATAATAATAATAATGATAATATTAATAAAAAAAAAATTTTTTTTTTCCAATGAAAATGTTATTGTTTTACCCTTACCTGGTTAGTTTTTTAAAAATTGTCGTTTTGTAACAAAAAAAAAAAAAAAAAAAAAAAAAATGTCTAACATATCATCATAACGTATAAAATTAATTATTTGTTTTGTGAATTCGATTTGAGTTTTAACTTTTTCTTTTTAAATTAATTAATTAATTTTTTATTAAAAATCGTTTAATTAATAATTTAAATCACATTTAAAGTTTAAAACTTTAAAAACGTTTGTTTGAAAAAAAAAAAAAAAAAAAAACTTGAAACGTTTTGCACTTGTCAACGGTTTACGTTCCTCGCGTTCGAAAATTTAAAATTCAAAATGGCGGCCAAAATTTTTTGTATCGTTTTGAACGGTTTAATTATAAAAATATTTTTCTTTATTTAATTATATTTTTATTAAAAATTTCCGTTAAATTTTTTGGTTTTTGGTTTTTTTAATTATTTTTACTATAATCGGGGGAGAAAAAAAAAAAATTTTTAATGAAAAAAAATCATTTTGTGTATCAAATTCCATAATTAAGAAATGTTGTGAATGAATTTTTTTGAAATGAACACCAGTTCAATATTTTCCGACATTTACGGTTTCGGTGAAGAACTAGATAAAATCAATTACGATGGCGTAAGTCAATTATTTTATTTTTATATAAAACAATTTAAACTTTTACACTAATTTATTTTTAATGTTCACAATTCTTTTTTAGATATCCAACTGGTTCTTTTCATTTAGATCATTATTTACCGTATACTCGGCTCATTTTTCATATTTTTTGGTTTTCGTTTGCATTAACGTTTGTGCCGTTATAAGTTACAGACACTGTAAGTTCTCACATTAAATTGTTTCATAAGCATTTTACATGCTGAATCAACAAAACACTCCATGATAACATGATCTTTTTCTTTTCTTTTCAGCTGCTGAAAATGGTAAAAAATATAAACAATATCTTTTGGGTGCTTTGATACATGGTTTGATATCAGAAAGAGGGGTTTTATTTACTAAATATTGGTATGCTCAAGCTCCGATTATGTTTTTTGGAAAACAATTACCATTACACATAATCCTTTTGTGTGAGTAATATTTAAAATGTAAAAATAACCATTGGTTCCATGAATTACATTTCTTAATTTTATTCAGATCCAGTTCAAATTTATCTATCAACAATGGCTGTACAAAAAATGGAATTAAGCATTTGCACTGAATCATTTGCAATTGGTCTACTAGTCATGCTACTGGACATACCATACAAAATAATATCAGTTAAATTTTTACATTTAACCTATCACGATACTGAACCATCTTATTATTATAAATTATGTGGAGTCCCCTGTGTTGAAATATTAAGTACTTTATTATATTCAACAAGTTATGTAGCTTTTTATCATATGGCACAATATATCAATTCAAGAGATGTAACAACAATTTGGGACAATTCAGAGTAAGCCCCTATACAACAACAACAACAACAACAAAAATTATTTATTTTTATTAAATTTCAATTTGATATAAACAAATATGTCTGTTTGTTTCAGGCCTACTCAAAGAGAAAAAATAACAACTGTGGTGTGTGGTTTGTTTAGTCCGTTTGTTGGATTCGTACAAAAAATTATATTTTTTCATTTTTTCAACGATTTTTTCCACGTTAATTCCGTATCATGTTTGATATTTACAACGTGTTTATTTTTATCAATTGTCCTTTGTTTGGATCCTAAAAAACCTGGAAAACATATAACAG